TTGAGCTATAGGCACCGAGCCTGTGTTTGTGATTATTTAATGTCATTGTACCCAGTAAACAGGCTGTAGCTCTTAAAGGTACAAATCTGTCACTTTTACATTGTATTTCTAGCACTTCTCAGGGTACCTGGAAAGTGGCACGAATGTAATTATCCAATAAATGAATAAATAATGGATTTCCATGTATTTTTAGTCCACCCTTGGGAGTCAGGGATTGTATGCTAGCTCCAGTTTTCTCTCTAGCTATAAGTGAGAAGGAAGCAATCTGAGAAATATGTAGTCATCCTCTCCTCTCAGGTTGCTTGGTTCTCTGTCATGCAGCTGGTTGGTTTTTGAGCCAGTGACAACTGGTTCCTTATTCAAAGTGAGGCAGGACTAAACGTGAAGTCTCTACCTTCCTCACTCCACCACAGGTCCTTTTCTGGGAGCACCTGGACAGTAACTGGATCAGCAGCTTGATGGCTAAGTCTGCTGGGAAGGCTGAAAGCTGATCCCTTAAGGGCAGTGGTTCTCAACTGGGGGTGATCCCTCTTAGTGTCATTTGGCTGGTCTAAAACATCTTTGGTTGTCACACTAGGGGGTTGTGATCTGGAGGGTAGAAGCCAGGGATGCTGCCAGCATCCTACAGTGCACAGGGCACCCCCACCCCCACAACAAAAAATACTCAACCCAGAATGTAGGCAATACACAGGTTGAGAAACCTTACTCTGAGGAGATCTGAGGGAGCAGATTGGCAGTGGAGACCATGAGGTTGATGTGAGGGTGCGTTCTGAGTGTGAACCCACCTGGGAGTCTTTGAAGGGGAGCGAGGGGTTCCCAAAGGTCCACCTTAGGCCCTGGCAGTCTACCTGAAGTAAACAGGAAGCAGCAGCTCTGGCTTCTTTTTTTCCTCAGGGGGGATGATGACACTTTGATCCTCCTGGAACTCTGCCATCTCTTCCGCCTCTAGCTGTTTCACGAGTTCCAGGTCACTGTCAGAGGTGAGCTCATCCCTGATGTGGCTCCAGTCATACTGCTGGCGCAGGAAGCTCTGCCACTTGTTGGGGGACACCCCAGCCCTCAGAGGACGCTTGTTCAGGATCCATCTGGCTGTGCGTTTGTTCAGCTTTTCCAGCACAATGGCCTCCCATGCTCTGGCCGCCTTCTCAGGAGGCGGAAGCCAGGCTTCCCTCTCCACCAGGTTCACATTTGGAGAAGGTGGAAGTTCCACCACCTCTAGCTTCCTGCAGGGACGACGGATGCGAGGCTGAGGTGCTTCCTGGATTGCCCTTGCTGGCTCTGATTTACCCACCTTCTTTTCAGGATTGGCAGAGCTTTCTGTCTTCGTAGGCTGAGAGGTATCCCTTGCTGAGGGGCCTAAGAACTTGAAGCTGACAGGTTTCCTAGGTTGGGCCTTCCTCACCGGGAGAGGATGGATGATGTTGTCTGTTTTGTAGAGGTGGTCAAAAGTGCACTGGCTGTAAGGAACGCTGGATAGCCCTCGCTGCAACACTACCTCCTGAGAGAAGGTAAGGTTTGCAGCGGCATTTTTCAGGTATTGGCTCTTAAGGTTTGTGTAATGCTGTGGGCTGAAGGGGAAGACTGGAGGCACCCTGGAGACAGAGTTACATGCCTCTTTGCCTTTCAGTTTTGAGTACCCAAAAACCATGCCCCACATCAGCTGTGGGGGGAGTGACTTTTGGGAATGATGGGAGAGAAAAATGTTTTTCTTTTGGGTCCTGGTCATATTGTTTCCCTGCAAATGCGTCCTTCACCACTGACTGGCCCAGAGGCAAGGCCTAGAGATGTGTCCAGGCACCTGTTAAAGGGATAGGAGGAACTGGTAAGCACTCGAGGTCAGCAAAATTTGGTCACCTACAGTAGTTCAGAAAGAGAATAACTTGAAAAACAGATGGGAGAGAGGCTGGGGGAAAGCCATGTGAATTAGAAGAACAAAAGAAAGAAATAGTGCCACATTCCAAATAGTTCTTGTATCAGGCTCTTGCTTCTAATTCTCACACTTGTTCAGAAGGCTCAGGTCCCTCCTTTGAGGGACTGTTGCTTTTCAGCAGTATCCCACACTTCTGGATTCTCTTCAAACCCTGCTTTTTCTCTGTTCAAAAGGCTTATATCGTCACATAAAGTTCAGACAACTCAGCCTGGCATTTTGAGTTCCAATAAATATGGCCTCAGTTTATGACTTTATCCTGACACATAAGCTCTTCTTGAGCCAACTGAGTCTCTTGGTGGTTCTCTGAGTATCTCTCCCTCCATGTATTAGAGCTTCCTTTTGAACCCTCTACATGGAATGGCCTTCCATGCTTGATACAAGCTCTATCTTTCCTTCCAGCTCGATTCTACCTGCTCCATAACTGTCTTGACCAAGCCACGCCATCATGTCATACCCAAATTTACAAATCACATCTCATCTATATTCTTTTTTTTTTTAAGACAGATTCTCGCTATGTTGCGTTCAGTAGAATGCCATGGCATCACAGCTCACAGCAACCTTAAATTTATGGGCTTAAGCGATTCTCTTGCCTCAGCTTCCCAAGTAGCTGGGACTACAGAAGCCCACCATAATGCCCAGCTATTTTTTGGTTGTAGTTGTCATCGTTTGGCAGGCCCGGGCTGGGTTCAAACCCACCGGCTGCAGTGTATGTGGCTAGTGCCATAGCTGCTTAGCTACAGGTGCCAAGCCCCTCGTCTATATTCTGACTTAACCCTGTGACCCGTCATACTGCTAGTATTTGGCTGTCTGACTGCACTGCCCAGGGACCATATTTCTTGTCTCTTCTGTCCTTTACATGCATTGCTACATCGTTAAGACGTGTAATAGCTATAGCATATTTTATCAAACACGTAGATGGCTTTGGTTCTTCTTTAATTATTACTTGGATTGTTTCTTTCCCCTTTTTAGCTAGCATGGTGAGTACTGTAGATTTAGTTTGGGTTTTTTTTTCCTTTTGAAGCACTCTCTTGGCCTAATAATGATAGCTAACAATTTTGTAGTTCTTTGCTAAGGCTTTCACATAAAGCAAAAATAATCTGGGGGGGGGGGCAGCGCCTGTGACTCAGTGGATAAGGTGCCGGCCCCAAGCCCTGGTCAGCTAAAATAGCAGTGGCAACTGCAACAAAATATATGCAGGCATTGTGGCAGGCACCTGTAGTCCCACCTTATTGGGAGGCTGAGGCAAGAGAATTGCTTAAGCCAGTGGTTCTCAACCTTCCTAATGCCTAATGTTGCAACCCACAGGTTGAGAACCGCTGGCTTAAGCCCAAGAGTTGGAGGTTACTGTGAGTTGTGATGCCACAGCACCCTACTGAGGGTGACAAATTTTTTTGGAGACAGAGTCTCACTCTGTTGCCCAAGCTAGAGTGCCATGGCCTCAGCCTAGCTCACAGCAACCTCAAACTCCTAGGCTCAAGCAATTCTCTTGCCCCAGACTCCAAGTAGCTAAGACTATAGGTTCCTGGCTAATTTTTTCTGTTTTTAGTAGAGAAGGGGGGAATCTTGTTTTGCTCAGACTGGAACATAAAGAAAATATTATGATCTACATTTCCTAAAGGAACAGTGGAAACTTAGAGATGTAGGCAAATTGCTTCAGATCACAAGTAGAGGAGTCAGGTTTCAAACCCCCTTTGCCAGATTGCACTTAACCTTGAGGCCATTCTGACCTTGGCCTACACTCTGCTCCCCACCACTCACTGTGTTAGCCTAGCCACTCCCAGTAGCAGGTAGGCCTCATCACAAAAATGAAAGTGAGACCATTATTTTGTGTCCTTCTATTTTGCTAGTTCCAACTCTGGCCCTGTGCTTAAGGTACCCTCAAAGACTAGATCCAACTCATTTCTCTTTATGTTTCTAAGCACCCAGCACATACTCTCTTTGTGGAGCCCTGATTTATTCTACTGTCTCCCATGTATAGAACCTGACCTCATGATGTTTCTTTCTGTTAA